GGTGAGTTTCTGATCCCCACCTTGCCCAGAGCACAGGTGTGGGCTGCAAGCTGGGGTCTGCACCACAGTTTGGTGTGTGAGCGGGGCAGCTGCAGGGTACAGGAGGTGCTTTGCTCGCTGCTAGTTCTTCTCTTTCTGCAGGCTGCTTGTGTGAGCCTTTAAGTGCTTTACCAGAGCTGTTATTCATGTAACATCCCAGATGCTTGGCTGAATGTAGACATCAATCTGTCTGAGAGACTGTGGGTCTGGCCCTGGAGCTGAGAGCTGGGGCTGCAGAGAGGACATGGGAGAGGGAGCCTGGCAAACCCACCCGTGCCACTGCTCAGCCTCCTGCTGAGCCACACGCCTTCATCCAGCAGCATGAAGTGCCTTACTGCTGAGTCCTTCTGTCTCCTCTGCTCTCTTGCTGCATGGGGACAAGGAACTGCTGGCATGCAGGGATGTCCCCCAGCTACAGGGTGCTGACAAGTGTCTCCTTTCTTTGCCTTCCTTCCCCTTTGGTTCTCCAGCTCAGGAAAGTCCTGCCAGCATCTGACAGGCTTCCTTGGGGTGTGCAACCTTGCGCGGCTGCAGCAGAGAGCAGCCTGGTGAGGATTCTTGGCAGGATGAAGCGGGGATGGAGCCAAGCAGCTCAGCACAGCTCTGCTTTTCCTTGCTCCACCCATCATGGGACACACAGAGCCGTTTCTGCACCAGATCGAAGGGCTTTGTCATAAGCAGCTTGTGAGGCTTGGCAGCTCTTCAGGCAGAAGAGAACTCACAGTGGGCTGCTCTGGCATCCTTGGGAGCACAGTCCCTTCCCCTGCCAGATCCTGCTGCTCTGGAGGTCCCTGCCATGCAGGGAGCTGGGTACAGCGCACAGATGCGGTGATGTGCTGGAGCCAGATGGAGGGGATGGCTTCCACCCACCCTGGCTGTCTCAAAAGCTTCCCGATGGCAGTCACAGCCTTCCTCCACCATGCCAGCCTGGAACCCGGCCTCCCCTTTGCTGTCCCACTGCAGCAGAAGCTGTGTGTTCCCCCTACCTACCTTTGGGGAGGGCACCAGGAAGGGTTACTGGTGCATGCTGGCCAGGCAAGACTCCTGAGTGGGGAAAAAGGCATCCCTGTGTTTCCAGAAAAGAAAAGCTGGAGGGCATCAGCTGGTGTGAGATAGCTCTGGTTGCCCCCTCCCTCTGGCTGGAGGGTGATTCGGTCCAGATGAGGAGCTGAATTCATATAAATCATCCCACAGAAGAAAAAACAGAGCAAATTCATACATCTGCTGACCTTCAACTGTGTGAGAGTGGTTTATTTTTTCTGCAGAGATGTATATATATTTCTTATATGGTGGGGACTAGAACAGTATTAATTCCTTGCCTCACCTGAAATATTGCTGCCTCTCTGCAGAGGAGATGAGGGCTGTGTGTAGCACCTGACCATGGGCAGAGCTGCTGCCAGGTGGATCTGCTCAGCCCAGGGATTTTCCTCTTCTGGACTGGATGCAATTGCTGCATCCTGCCGGGAACTACAGCTTCCCACTCCTGGGCCAGGCAAGTTAAATAACCCTTCCTTTTCAAAGCTGTAGTAATTCTTATTAGCTGGTTTGAATCATCTGTTGAAAAGGTCTCACATCACTCTTGAGCACCAAACTGTTCTGTATTCAGAACCAGACCACCCAGTCTCCTCCGCTAGAGCATAAAATATGCAGGAGAGAAGGCTCTGAGAAAATATTTAAAAGCTATTCAGGTGTGCAAGGGGTGTGCTGTGGGTGAGACCTTACTTCTCCAGCCTCTGCCCTGTCTCCACCCTGCAGTGGACCAAAGTGCTGGCCCCCAAACCCCTGTTGGGAGAGCAGATGGGGTAAGCCAGATCTGCTGCATGCAAACGTTGCTGAAGGGCTCCCTGCTCTGCAATGGTGCTGCTGCTCTGACATGCCATGACGGATGTTTTTAACTCAACGCTGACGCCCTGAATGCAGCCTTTGTCCACATTTGCAGCACCCGACCTGGTGGGCTTGTCCCAGGAGAAGGTCCCACAGCAGTGACTCCTGAGCTGTGATAAGTCCCCAAGCAGAGAAACCAGACTTCCCAGTCCCAGGCTGCCTCAGCCTTGGGGAAGCAGATGACAAGGGAAGAACCAGCACGGAAACCTCTCCTCTCTGGCACAGGACTTGCTGCTTTTCCTGCTGTCTCACTGGCACATAGCTAGGACACAGAGAGGAATTCCCTTCCTCCACAGAGACCTGGATCCAGAGGATTTTCAGTCGAAGCACAGTGCCAGGAGCTTACCACAGCCAGCGATCCTGCCCTGTGCCTGTTCTGGTGCATTGCCCAGCTCCTCCCAGCCAGGTGCTGGCGCATGGGTGAGTCTAATCCACAGTGACGGGAGCTCCCCAGTACAGCTGAGGTGGTGAGCTGGGTGTTGCTGGAAACACTCTGCACAGTGACAGGGACCCGTGCCTGGGGGAGGAAGAGGGTGGCAGCCTTGTTGATACAGCTGCAGGTGGCTGTACACAGTTAGTGTGTTGCCTCAGGGATTTCTAACTTGCAGTGCTCCTCAACAGAAAACAGCAGGACCCAGACAGACCAGATGTCCCCGTAGCATCCTCTGGCCTCAAAGCCATCTCCTCCCACCTGCCCGAGTCAGCAGCTGGGTGACAGGGCCAAACTGTCTCTGTCTCAGGACAGGACGAGGGACACCTCCAGGTCCTCACATGGAGATCTGAAGGGCCCAGGCAGCAGTTTTGGAGAGGATGAAGCCCCCCTGGGCTGCTGCCTCGCCCTCATCTCTGCAGAGGAGCTGCTGCAGCAGCTGTGGGGCTGTGCAGGGCCACAAGTGCTGCCAGCCAGCAGGCACCCCATGCCTGGAGCTCTGTGTTTAATCAAACCAATTAGCAATTTAATCTTGTTAACAAACCAAGATAATTGCAGCATTATCAAATTAGGCAGCTGTATGGAAATGCCTGCTTAATAGCTGATAATAGCTGGTCCTTATGGAGGCGGGAGGGCTGCGATCTGTGGCTAATGACCGGCGTGAGGGGGAATCGGGCCTTGCCAGCCTGGGCCGTCTCGGTGTGGGGATGGCTGGAGGACAACCAGGACTCTGCTTGTCACCCCATGGCTTGTGTGGGCACAGTGCTGCCTTCTCAGAGGGGTGGTTGGTGCAAGAGTGGTTAGAGATTTTTTCCCACCCAGCAGGACACTGCATTAATCAGAAGCAATGTCTGATTTTACACTAAATTTGGCAGATGAGATCCCAGCCCTTACTCTGCCTGTCCCTGCCACTTCCAGCCTCTCTGCATGGCTGAGCTAATCAGAGAAGTGGTCTTTTACCATAGGACTTCTTCCTTCTCAGTCACTCAATAATTTCTGTGTCTTCACCTCCATGAGGGTGACCATGGAAGGACTTTCTTCAGGAGATGCTCTCCCCAGCCTCAGCCAAGGAGCTTCCACTGTCTGCCTTGGGACGTGTGAGCTGTCGATCCTACTGCCAGAGGTTTCATCCTGCTGTATTAGTGGGTGGTTTAACTGTGCTGCTCTCTGGATTGCCTGGCAGCAGGGATCACTACTGCGCAGGGAGATGCAAGGGGCCAGGAGCTGGGCTATTTGCTGGGTCTGCCTGCAGGCTGAAGGTGACAGAGGCAAAGTGTCTTCTCTCAGTCAGCCAATTGCTCCTTTCTCCCTCATCATCCAGCGCTCAGTCGTTTTCCTCCCTGCTGTCTTTAGCATATGCAGGCAGACCAGGCTCCTCTCCAGTCTGGGCTGGGTCTGTGTGTTGAGAATATGATGATGGGACGTGCACACATGGCATCAGCCATGGGGCTGGGGAGGGCACTGTTTGCTGGGCATCAGGCAAGGCTGAGGGATGCTCTGCTCCTGCAGAGCATGGTCACACCACCTGGCTCTGCAATTGCTCTGGGCAGGTCCCTCAGGCTGCACGTGCTTTCTCCTGCTGATGTTTCTCAGCACTTCCTAATTTTTTGGTTTTGCTGTACAAAAATTACAAGAACCTCTTGGAAATGGGCATTTTTCTGCCCTGGCTCTAGGCTTTCCCAGGCAATTTTTTTCAGCTGATTTTTCGCCACCAGCTCAGCTTCAGCAAGGGGCTCAGCACCACTTGGTGTTTGGATCTATGTAACTCCCATCTTCTGCCCTCCAGATGTGCCCAAAGTATGGTACCCACAGGGAGGCTCTGCCTCCTGCACCCCCCCCCAGGCAGGCAGGGCCAGTCCCCTTCCACAGCCCTGGCCAGCTTGGGATGTGCCTGAGGACACACATGCTGCTCTCCAGGGCCCCTCACAGCCTGCCAGGAGAGTCCCCTGAAGTCGTCCCATCATGTGTTGTCCCGGCCTCTTCCCATTGCCCTCTCCCCATGGGGTCTGCATGCCTCTGGATGGATTTTCTCCCCCATGCCAGCCTATAACCACACTTCAGGTGCGTAGCTGGACTGTTGTCATTCTGTTCCCCAGGCAGAAATTCTTGGCTGAAAGTAGCAGTGGGATCATGTGCCAGGATAAGCTGGGAGAGAGGAGATGGGGAAAGGAATTGCACATCATGAGCATCCCTGGGACAAGCTCTTTTATTTGTTAAAACAGCAGCGAGGAGGAAGAGGGCGAGCAGGCACACACACTGTGTGGCAGCTGTCAGCAGGGTGGTCCTGGAGCTGAAGTGGTCTCTGAGCATGGGCTGGTGACTGTCCTTGGCCTCCCAGGAGCTGGCATCAGGCAGGACAAGCTTTAGCAGAGGCATGGGCAGCTGGTTGATGCTGGGGATGCTCAGAGGGTCCTCAGTCTGCCCTGGGAACAGGAGCTCACGCTGGGGAAAGGGAGAGAAAGCAACAGATTGGGTCTGGGGCTAAAAGTAACCCCAACCCATGTGTTTGGCCATCAGTCACCCCATCGGTCTGACAATGGAGGGTTCTGGCAGCTGGACACAGGTCTGTGCCAGGAGCCACCGTCACCGTATTTCTCCTCTGCTATCTGGGGAGGTGAGAGCAAGGTGGGGGTTCCCGAGACCCTACCGTAGGAGACAGGGATGGCAGGAGGGCGTGAGATGCATCTTCTCCCACAGAAGGTCTGGCAGCACTTCTTGTTGCGCGGGCACTGTCGGTCGATGTAGCACCTGTTGGGTGGATTGACCATCGCGCAGGTGATGCGGACGGGCGGGCAGGACCAGGCGCTGCCTGCAAGAGGAGGGAGTTTGCTCCAGGCTCCTGGCAGCTGAGGGGACCTGGGGAGATGCTCCCCAGCAAGTGCCCTCCTCCTCTCCCCTCCCATCCAACACAACCCCTGCAAACATCTCTCCTTCCCATTGCCTGTGCTTTTTTTCCCCTGTACCTTATCTCAGATCATCTCGTACCTGTTGGCAGCTCCGTCCAGAAGATGAGCATTCCCACCAGGAGGAGGGCAGCCACCGACTTCATGCTGCTGTGTCCCTGCAAAGTGTGAGTGTGAAGAGCTGGGGGACACCAGCATTTAAACCCTGGGGAAGAACGGGGGTGGGGAGTTGGACTGAACACGTGCTGATGTTTGTACCTTTTTCCTCTGCCATTGCGTTACGTTTTCTGGAAGCCTTTTGCACAAGATAAACAAGATTTTTCAATTGCTCATAAAGCAGTTACTCCATTGCACAACTGTCTTGGGCAGCCACACCCGGGGCTGAAGGACAGTCCAGGGGAAGGTGGTCCAGGACATCATCCCTCTAGCATGCTGGAGGCAGTGGAGGTTCTTTCTCCTGGACAGGTGTGCTTCGCCGGGAGAAAGCATTCTGGTGACTGTGCTGTGTTCCCTTCTGGGGATCCATTAAGCGGGTTTCCCTCTGTACCTTGCTTCCATATAGACATGCAAACCAAACCCTACAGCACAATCTCGATCAGTGTGAGGCAGCCTGTGCCCTCCCAGGGATGATCTTTTAAAGTTTTTCCAGAGGAAATCTGTCTCAACTCCAAACCCTCCTGGCTTCTGCCCCACTGCTGACATAAGCTGGTGTGGGAAAAGCAGCTTTGGCTTCACCAAGAATGAGTCTTTTCCAAGCTCTATGAGGGTCACCTGAGGCCCAGCATCTTCTCTGGGTGGCCGTTGTCACATAGTAAGCAGGTTGGTGCTGGAAGAAACTGGCTGGCCTCACTGGGGTAGGAGCATCAGCTCCATTCAGCCCTGACATCAGCCAAATGTCCCTGGCGGGGCTGAGTCCTGACTCCTGAGGGCTGTAGGCATAAGGGGCTGTAGTCCTTGTTCAGAGGGGAAAGATCTTGCCAGGCTTCAGGCCTCCAAATCCTTCCTCCTCACAAGGGCTCCCCCTCCTCCAGGCAAAGCTGTTTTCTTTAGGTGCTCTTGGGCAATGGGAAATTACTCCATTTCCCACCAATGGCTCAATATCCCCCCCTTGCCTTGTGTAACCAGCTTCTGGAGCTTTTCCCCAGGATTTCTGGGGCTGACAGGAATGGGAGCTGTGCTGGAAACAGGTGCTGAAAATGCCCTGCAAGGGGAAAGCACCCTGCGCTCCCGCAAAGGGCAGGCTGAGGCAGCCCAGATTTCGCAACCAGGCAGGTCAAGGTGATCCTTGCAAAAGCCCAGACACTGCTCTTATGTTCTCTGCACAGCCCCCGAGCTCCTGCAGCCTCTGCTTTCCACCCAGGGCATGGTGGGCATCTCGCCAGGCCCTTTCCTGCTCAGATTTCCCTTCTCACGTGTCAATGTGCCGCATTAACTCTACCTTAACTTAATGGGTATCTGTTAATTATTTTCTGGTTTCCTTAATGATTCTGCAGCTGCATTTAGCTCTTCGTAAAGTCATTTATTAAATAACTGGGAGAGTATTTAGCTAACCCAAATAGACTTTCTGGGCTGTGCACCAACAATTTAGCACTTTTAATGAGAAATACAAGCATTGGATTAAATTTTAATCAATCCTTTGGCGTTCAGAGCTGCCAGGGCTGGAGAGGACAGTGCTGTGCTCCCAGGTGGTGCTAAGATCAGGCCAAGGTGGTGCCTGGGGCTGCACCTCCAAAAGAGAAGATACCAATGAGTGAGGCTTGCATTCACCTGCAGGGGAAAGAAATCCATCCTTCTGGTAGTGCTTTATCCATAGCAAGTCCATAGAGGAGAAGTCTAAAATGTGCTTCTATTGCAAACTCCCACAGAGTAAGCCAGACCATGGCATTTCTGTGCACAGAACCACCTCCAGTCCCTGAGTTTCACTCTGCCACCTGTGCAGCACCCATTATCCCAGGGTCACACTGAGCCATCCCCATCCCATGCTGCTTATACTCTCCTCCAGAAAAAAATGCTTTGTGACCCTCCTCACCAGGCAACATGGCCTGAGCCGTGCAAGGCCAAGGATGCTCACGGTCTTTCCCAGCCAGGCTGGGGCTCTCGCCTTTGTTTTACCCGGGGACTGCAAGGAGGGAGGCCAGAACCCCTGCTCCAGCTTGGAGCTTGACCATGGCCGGGGCCCAGCCTTAGCGGGGTGCACAAAGCACCCAAGAGACTCCTTGTGCCCCCGCTACTTGTGCCCTCCCAGGCGATGCAATGCTTTCAGCCTGGTGCCGAGCTCCCTCCCT